TCACTTCAACAAGTGTCAGATATACACACTCTGCTTGCAGAGCTCCCCATGCATAGCCTTAAATAAACATCCCAGATATATCTGCCCTGTTCCCCATCTCAGATTCCTTTTCATCTCCATCTGGTTTTCAAACATGATTTTCCAATTTCCCAATTACCATCTCTCAAGACCCCCTTATGTCCCCTCTCTTCTCTTCATCTCTCTGATGATATAAGGCACCAAAGCAGCCATTACTACTTTAATAGGGCAGAGAGTCTATTGCCTTGGTGGAGGAAAGTTTGCAAGACTGCTTTGCCCAGTCTAGTTTGAAGAGAGCCTGATTGGTCCATCTCTGTAGGTTGTGAGTTTGCGCTGGTTTAGGAGGCCCTCTCTCTGGCTGAGGAAAGTATTCCCTATATTTAAGTAATCTTCAGTGCTGGCTGTGCCCTTTTTTGTGTTGAGATGTTTTCTCAAAGGGCACTGTGGTTTCTACTTTCCTGATGGAAGTTCCATGTCTGTGGAAAACTTTCCTGTAACCTTTCAAGGTTTGTACTCTGTTCCAGAGGGGCTCTTGGATATGAAAATGGTCTTTTTTTTTTCTTAAATGATCTCACCGATGATCAAAAGGAGCACATAAAAGCTGTCCTGGGGATCTGGCAAGGTTGCCAATGTTCTCTTTACCTTTGGTCTGGTATTTAGGTCTGAGACAGTGTCTCGCCAACAGCTCTTGCTTTCCTCAGGGGTTGGGGCTGAGAGACACAGAAGGGGAGGCAGGAGGGGCATATTAATGCCTCTAGGAAGTAGAACTTCATTTTTATCCTGGGAGAGCCATTTGAAATTGGGTTGGCACATTCGGTCCTGAAAAATTGACCTTGCAGGAGGTAGAATTTTATATCCAGCATTATTTGGAGGACGTGGCAGCAGTGTTTCCCTTGGATGTATTACACTAACCCTATGCAGTCACTCCTAGGAGGCTTGTCTGGACTGGGATTGCTTGTGCCTTGTGGTAGAGGACAAGCTCAAGATGATGTTCTCTGGACTCACAGAACCACTCAGCAGTTCTGTGATTTTTGTAAAATTTACTTTCTCTCTGGTGAAATGGGATAGGGCTAGTAATTAGAGAGGTCTGAGGATTCAGTGACATAATAGATAAAGTGCTTAGTATAGTACCTAGCACATAGGAGATATTCAATAAATGGAAGCCGTCCTCATGAATAATCACATTGATAATTGTTAATCCCAAATTACTATTTCTCAGCATGAAGTTAGTACCCCATATTTACTGTCCCATAAGTCCCTTGCACTTGCTCATTGCATTTATCACTCTGTCCTTTAATCACCATTGTACTTGCTGTCTCTCTACAACGCCATACTCCTAGACCCTTGAAAACACTGGTAATGCCAGGTTTACCTTTGCATCCCAGCATCTCCAGCACTGGCATGGCACCTGGCACATAGGACAGGCTCAGTGTTGTGCATTCAATAAGTACATGAACAGAATCCTCTAGCTGACTTTTTCCTTTTTAAGTTTGTTCCTTTATTCTGCAGTGCTCATCCTCTGCTTCATGCAGGCTGGGTACCCCTTTGAACTCTCTTCCTGTTTCCCCAGTTACCATTTCTATTGCCATTTCCTTTACTTCGTTCATGCCTGCCCTCTTGCCTTGAAAAATCTTTTCTGTTACCATTTGGTATCCTTTTTTCCACTTCTTGTGTTCCTTCTCTTCTATGACACATACCCTAACCACTTCAACCCACATTAATCTCATTCATGAAATCTTGTTTCATGTATAGCTCATAAGTCCTCATTGTTCTTGGATTGAGTTTTTGTGTGATAGTTTGATTTTTCCAACCAGATTGTCAGCTTCTTGAGAGCAGACATATATCACTGATTGTCTCTACCCATTAGAGGTCATGGTCTGGGACCAGGTACATAATTGGCTCTAAATAAAAAGTACGCCACTGTCAAAATGATTAAATAAATTAGACTGTTGGACCAAAGGGGTAAATGAGATGAAAAAGTCTTAGCTGATAGGACGTGGTCTTTAGAGTTGGTTGTGTGAATGCAGGGGTTAGAGAACAGTTATCAGTGCCTCAATGCTTTGTTAAGATTTGAGTTTTCTATATCCATGCACTCTCTTACCAGTTCTTGGTCTTGCTTTTCCCCCAGTCATGTTTGGAGGAAAACGTGGTAAAATTGCAATCAGTCAATTGCTTTTGGATAGGAAGGCAACATACTTGATGATGATAAAGGAATTGGGAATGCCTAATGGTGACATCAGGGCTCACCATCTAGTGCCAATGCTGTCTTCATTTCTTTGCTAGTTTGGTTGCTACCAAGCTGTTCCTGAATTAACCTATCATCTATTGACTGATGTGTTTAACATTTTTGAGGCCAGATGTACAGCAGAGAACTCCGCAGGTTGTGGGGATTTCAGAAGATGTGGTATGCAGCATGTAGTAGATGCGTTGCTAATGTTGGGAAGGATGAATGCATATAGAAAGCATAATCTTTAGGAATGTGCAGTCTGCTCTGGACTGCAGTGAAGTATCAGGGTGAGGCTGGAATGAGTGAGTGCCAAAGGGCACCAGCTCTCAAGGGAGAGTTCTTGGGAAGCAGATATGGGGAAGAGATGCTAGATGAGCTTCCCAATGCCACATGGACTGTGGAAGGCAGATCATACTAGAAATCAAAGTGCTTTGAAAAAGTGCAGTGCAGTATTCTATTATAATACATATTTAAATAATCGTAAATTTTACAGATTGACATAGGGGCTCTTTTGGGGGAAATAGACTACCTGGCACTTTGCAGATGGTCAGTAAAACATTTATTGTGTGAGTGAATCTGGAGGCCCCACTGTGGTTTTTGTCCCTCCTTTTTCTTTTTCATGCCCAATCCTTCTGCTGGTTCAGGCAGCAGCATTTCATTTTCCAGCTGTAACTAAATAAATTACGAGGAGTGGTTAGAATAGGGTTTATTGGTGGCTCCCCTTTTCTTCTACCATTCCATTGTGAGAATGAGTCAGTAGGGCTCTGCATGGATGTTTACTGGCAAGGGCACAAAACACGTTTTTAAGGGCAGAGTCCATGTTGTTGAGTAATAATTAACTGCTAATGGCATTGTCTTGTGTGTTGCATAGTAAATAATCAATAAATAGCCTGTTTTCAATGAGAGTTTGAAGGCCAATGCAAAGATCGCACACAGACAAGCCTGAAAGGTACTGTTTTGACTAAACTTAATGGAAAACAAAGGGGAAAATCTGGCTTGTTTTGTGTTGCCATGCTTAATTGCATGGTGGTGTCTTTTTCGCTTGAATTTCCTCGTGCCCTGTGGAGGGCACATGCATGAGGGTGCTCTGCTGAGCGAGGATTGTAGAACAGAGGTTGTTGGCAGCCAGGATGTACTGGCTGCTATGTTGTCTAGCATGGCTAGATCTTACTGGGAGCTTTCAAATCAGAGTCTCTGTGAAATGGAACAAGTGAACTGAGCCTAGTCTGTTCCTAAAAATAAGTCTCTAAGAAGCAAGTCAAGTGCTTTTCAGTAGGAAGCCTGTGGAGAAAGAGCCTGGAACATAGACTGGAAGTAACACAATTCAGGGTTGTTTTTTTTTCACCCAACCCTTTTCAGGCTTTAGGAGAGAGGAAGTGACTTGTCTCAGGTCACTTAGGGGCTAGGCCTCGCACCTGATCTGCTGTATTTCCCTGCCTGAGCTCTTTTCCACCACCGGGAGCCAACTGTCTGGAATGTCTTTTCCCTGAGTGAGGAAGCAGAGATGCCTGGCTCTGCTTCCTCACTCAGGGAAAAGACATTCCAGACACTTGGCTCCTGGTGTGCGGCAGGGCTACGAAACTGAGAGTGCCTGACTCTCTTGGCCCTACCACACTGTCCTCAGGTTAACTGGTGCTCCCCGCTGGCCTGCTATTCAGAGCTCTGCGGGAGAGCACTTTGCAGCACATGCAAAGGAGGTTTGAGGAGGGCAGATGGCTTCACCAGCCTTGCCCAGAGTGTGTCTTCACCCTTGTCTGCCATGAGGCAAGTCAGGGAGGTGTCATGGGGCCAGCCTGGCTGTAGGAGGGCTATAGTGCCACCTCCTCAGGGTTTGACCTGGAAGGCATTACGTGAGCATGATGAGGAAGAGATGGGCACAGGGTGTAGGAGAGAGTGGGCTGGTGTGATGCTCATTTAGGGGCTCAGAGGGAGCAAGTGAAGCCAGGGAGAGAATGACATTTTAATTACACAGTAAGTGGTCAGGCCTATAATCTTCCCTGATGGCTCTTCTTACTTTCCAGTCATCAGAGGCATCTGCATATGAATCCGAGGCGCTGAGGCTTAAACTTTCTGATCTGATGGTGATGCTGACATCAGTCTGACCTTCTGTGATCTTGTACTGGGTGAAGAGGGCAGGATCCACCAGTCGTAGTACTGAAATACCCTGCAATGGTGAGATTCGCTCCCTCGTGAATCCCATTCAGGCATTTCCAGGGCTCGTTTTACTCAACACAAATGTCAAGCCCTAAAGACACCTGAAAATGATGCGAGGTCCTGAGTTATTGTGGCTTGACTCTGAGGGGATGGCCTCAGGAGGACCTGGAACACTGACTTCTCCTAGGCTTTGGAAATGAGTACATCTGCTTGGTATTTGTTAGTGTCAAAATGCAGCAAATCCCTAAATGATTGTTCCTCTGACTCAGATTTAATCCACTGATTCTTTCATTATCTCATGGATTCATTAGCCTGGTGTTTGTTGACAGTCTTCCCTGTGTCATGCTCTTTGCTGACAATGGGAATCAAATGGCAGACCAGGCATATTCAGTGCCTGCCTCCAGAGCATAGCAGTGAGGCTGGAGGACACTGTCTGCACCAGCACCCTTATTCACATGTGGCTTCTGAGGCCAGAGAGAGGACATATTTCACCCAAGGACTTGGGGCTTGGGGCCTTCCTTTCCTAGCTAGGTGGAAAGCAGCTGGAGGGTAAGATCAGGGGTTACTCCTTCGCTTAATGCCCTGCAAAGAATAGCCACACAACTATGGGCGGATTGATTAAATATGGCAAAGGGACGCCTTACACCCTCTCCCAGCTGTCCTGCTTCATTGTCAGGGGATGGGCATGGGGGTTAAGCCTTGCAATTCTCCTTGCAACTCTCACCACAAATTCAACTTGCACTGGCCATCAAATCTCTGTGAGTCAGTTTTATCAGTTTGCTTGTAGAATCAAGCCGGACCTGAGGCAAGAGGAGACGGAATGGAGGGTTTAACTCTTTAATGGAATCTTGCAGACATGTTCCTTAAAGAGTGGGGAAAAGAGGACAGCACCATTTATGGAATATATGTTCTGCTGATACATGCTAGTTATGACCTGACTCTTGTTTTATTTATTTCTTTAAACCTTTGTAAGGCTCCATAAATGATGGGAGGATAAAAGCAGGAAACTGACAGAGCTGGCTGAAGCCTATGTCCCTGTGCTCTCCACTGTGTTTCTAAAACTTTCTGAAGTGTGCATAGGTATGTGGTATCATGGGCTTTTAGTGGTTTGCACAAGAAATGTCTAGAGCTTGGACCTCCTGAAAATTTCCCTGATAATTCTGGACAACAGAGCATGGAGGGTGTGTGTGTGTGTGTGTGTGTGTGTGTATAAATTCTTGCAAATCCTCCTGCCCCAACAATGAGGGCTGATAAGCCACCAACCTTAACAGCCAGTCCCCAGGTACTCCTATTCTGGAATACAGTTTAGTAAACTTGTTTCAACATTTCGTATTTTGTGGCTAAAACACATAATTCTGGGTTTGAGGACCACTCAGTAGACTGGCTTAATTGTTTGATTTGCCGACTTAAAACAAGAAACTGGTAATTCCGTATGGAAATGAAAATTAAGCAGGATGTAAATTAATGCTTTGGTCCTAGAGTCTAGAGGACAGCTGGTACACCTTTGCTTTGTAGGAGGAGGCAGTGGGTTGTGGTAGAAGCCATGTGGCTGGAAATGGAAGCTGTTTGGCACTGGGGGTGTCTTACCATGTGAGATCTTAGGAAACCCCTATCACTTCCTTGGCTTTGGTTCTTCCATCTGTGCATTAGGAGAAAAAAATTACTGGCTGTTGGCCATCCCTTTCCTGGGACTGCTTTATCCAGAAGTTGTGGTGTTTCTGGGGAAAGGAACTCCTACTGGTCATCTGAAAGGGTACAAGCCTGGTTAAGAGCACATGTGTGACCACAAATATTTGTGCATCGATATTTGGTGGTTTTCACTCTCATAGTCTTTCTATGTTCATCCTATCAGACCCAGAACTTGGCTTTTGAAACCTTTCCCTGACCTGGAAGATGACACAGAAATAATCTTAAAGCATCTCTCTTCACTTCCCAAAAGGCTGTGCATTTTCTGAGACATGGAAAGGTGCTCTCTGTGACTCCTTGGGCTGCAAGCAACCAGCCTCCCTGAATCCATGAGAGTAGAGATTGAACAGAAATCTGGTCCAAGTGCCTGTATATTTTGTGAGACCCGGGGCCTGGCATTAGGGAGCAGAGAGGATTATCTCGAGAGCTTTGAAACTCAGGACTTCTGTTGCAGTCTCCCTGGCATCCTTCTCTGAGGGTTTAAAAAGTGCTAGACTAGGTTCAGAGTGATATCACCCCTGAGGAATTCTTTGGAGGATATGGGAAGATGACTTTTGGAGAATCAGGGTTCTCCAAAGAGAGGGGAAAATATGTATTGCTGTGGTGAATTTCATCTTTATCTCAGGAGCCTGAGTGTTTATGTTCATTCTTATCCCAAGTTGGAGGAAACAGGAACTGAGGGCTGCATTAATAGAGATGAGATATCTAGAACAAGGAGGTGCTACTCCTTGGACACAGGTTACTAGACCACACCTGGAACACTGTGATGAATTTAGAATAGCACATTTTTTTTTTCCTAACTGAAAAGATTTTATTTTTTATTTTTACTCTTCTAAATTTAAAGCTACATTTTTTACTCACTCTTTGATACATAGTCATTTTATATCATACCTCTATCTCTAGTTTCACTTCATTTTCCCAGTATTCTCTTCAGTTACCTGCCTATTTTTAAAAACTTTTATTCTAAATTGAGGGGTCCATGTGCAGGCTTGTTACATAGGTAAACACATGTCATAGGGGTTTGTCGTACAGATTATTTCATCACCCACGTATTAAGCCTAGTACCCATTAGTTATTTTTCCTGATCCTCTTGCTCCTCTCACTCTTTACCTTCTGATAAACCCGTTTGTGTTGTTCCCTTCTTTGTATCCATGTGTTTTCATCATTTAGCTCTCACTTATAAGCGAGAACATGTGGTATTTGTTTTTCTGTTCCTGCATTAGTTTGCTAAGGATAATGGCCTCCAGCTCCACCCATGTTCCTGCAAAGGACATGGGTTTGTTTTTTTTTACAGTTGCATAGTATTCCATGGCATATATGTGCCACATTTTCTTTATTCTGTAGTCTATCATATCCTTTAGTCTAGACTAATGATATCTTTAGTCTATCACTCACGGGCATTTAGGTTGATTCCATGTCTTTGCTATTGTGAATAGTGCTGTGATGAATATATGCATGCATGTGTCTTTATGATAGAACAATTTATATTTCTTTGAGTATATACCCAGTAATGGGATTGCTGGGTTGAATGGAATTTGTGTCTTTAGGTCTTTGAGTGATTGCCGTACTGTCCTCCACAGTAGTTGAGCTAATTTACACTCCCACCAACAGTGTATAGTGCTCCTTTTTCTCTGTAACCTTGCCACCATCTGTTATTTTTTGACTTTTTAATAATAGGCATTCTAACTGGTGTTAGATAGTATCTCATTGTGGTTTTGATTTGCATTTCTCTAATCAGTGATATTGAGCTTTTCTTTTTTCATTTGCTTGTTCTGCTTGTTTCTTTTTCATTTGTATGCCTTCTTTTGAAAAAATGTCTGTTCATTTCATCTACCCACTGTTTAACGGGACTGTTTGTTTTTTTTCTTTTAAATTTATTTAAGTTCCTTATAGATGCTGGATATTAGACCTATGTCAGATCCAGTTTGCAGAAATTTCCTCTCATTCTATAGGTTGTTTACTTTGTCGATGGTTTCCTTTAGAACAGCATGTCTTAAAAGGGATAACACATTGGAGTGTGTTCAGAGGAGAGTTGGAAAGCCCACCCTATTCTATGGGGATTGTCAGGGAAACGGATTTTAACCTGGAGAGGGCAAAACTCAGGTTTTGACAGGGTTTTAAATATCTGAAAGGTTGTCCCGGGGATCTGTATGTGGTCCCAGAAAACCTAACATTGGAGTCAGAACTCAGGTGGAAGCTTTAAGGAGAGAGATTTTGTTTTATATGAAGAAGAAGAATGAATTTCATTTTGGAGGGGGTAACATTACTGAGCTTTTGAATATTTCACTTGACCATGAAAGTGATATATTCTTGTTGTAGAGCATTTGAAGAATAGAGAATATTTTTTTAAAAAAATAAGTGAAATACCTGTAACATCCCTTTTCAGAAGCAGCCACTATTAGCATTTGGGACATTATATTTTACTATTTTTGTGTTTTTTATTTTATTTTTTTACAAAGTTGAAACAATGGTACATAAACCATATTGAATCTTACATTTTATGTAAGATAAAAGGTGATTTATAATCATTTGGGTGTATGCTCAGTAATGGGATTGCTGAGTCAAATGGTGTAAATCATTCTACTATAAAGACACACGCACACATATGTTTGTTCTGGTACTGTTCCCAATAGCAAAAACTTGGAACCAACCCAAATGCCCATCAAAGATAGACTAGATAAAGAAAATGTGGCACATATACACCATGAAATTCTGTGCAGCCATAAAAAAGGATGAGTTCATGTCCTTTGCAGGGACATGGATGAAGCTGGAAACCATCATTCTCAGCAAAGTAACACAAGAACAGAAAACCAAACACCACGTGTTCTCACTCATAAGTGGGAGTTGGACAATGAGAACACATGGGCACAGGAAGGGGAACAGCACATATCCAGGCCTGTCAGGGGTCAGGGGGCTAGGAGAGGGACAGCATTAGGAGAAATACTTAATGTAGATGACGGATTGATGGGATACAGCAAAAGCACCATGGCACATGCTATGCCTATGTAACAAGCCTGCACGTTCTGCACGTGTACCTCAGAACTTAAAGTTTAAAAAAATTAGAAAATTTTTTAAAAAGGTGAAACATTTAACCTTACATTTAATAATTTATAGTAAGTAAATGTACATTTTAATGGTTTTGTAATATTCTATGCTAAAGATATAGTGTGATTTTGCATAATCATTTCCTTTAATATGGGCCATTAAATTATGTCCTAGTTTGTGCTTTTGTGGTAAATATTATTATGAATAAATTTTTCATGTATTTCAGATTATTTCCTTGGGTTAGTTTCCTAGAAATGAATTTGTCAGGTTGAAGTATACAAAAAATTCAAACTGTTGTCTCATATATATGTGTATGTATGTATACACACACACACACACACACACACACACACACACAGCTATATGGTTTTACAGAAATGTTATACCAGTTTACATTTTGTATCAATGTAAGATGATTTTGCTTTTAGATGCTTTTGCTTCAAATTATAAGGAAACTTAACCTCAAGTGGCTTGAATGAAAAGGAAATGTATCGGCTTAGATATCTGGAAAAAAATATATATGGCTAGAGTTTACCTTCAAGTATGTCTGGATACAGGGACTCAACTGATGCCTGTAGGTCTCAGTTTCCTTTCTCTCCATCAGTAAGAGTGTTGGCTACTAAGAGCCACTGTTTTTGGCAGCCTTTTTTGGTGTGTGTGTTTGTGTGTGCTGTATTTGGGCCTTGAGTCAGAGTAGTGTTTTCATGTCTGGGACAGACCACCTGAATCATCTAGATAGGCTATTAGAGGAACCTGCTAATTTCTTTGGTCTCATTAGATCTGGTTTTGCTGACATAAAAAAAAAAGACTGTTTTTTCCCCCAATCTCTTATGAGATGAAGGAGGTGGGTTATAAATAAAACTTTAAGAGGCGTTCATTGGTTCAGCTCTCCATTGCTACGCTTGTCCGTCTGTCTGTCCATTCCTCCATTCAAGTAATGTAGCGCAGTGAGCCTTGGATAGGAGTTAAAGGACGTGGATTGTCATCCAGGTTCCACCACTGGTCCATGCCCTAATTGCATTGACAAAAGCATAGCTGGGATCAGGAAGCAGGGAACAGTTTTTCCCCTGGCACACATATCCAAAGTGTCTACTTTTTAGCAATTTTCAAAAGGCAGGATATCAACATTATGATGAAAAGTCATTAGAGGAAGAAGAGTGGGAATCACCCAGGGAAGATAATCAAAGGGTTTAGTGCCTTTGAAAAAAATTGATTTGCAGACTCCATCCCAAGGTTACCCACCATCACTTTAGAACCTGGCTTTGCTTCTGCTTTCTGAGTATTTCCCTATTACTTAAAGGGGGTTAATCCCAGTTCTACCACTCTTAGGGAATCACATGAAATGATAATGCATGTGACTTAAGATGATATTTTAAATGTTGGGCACCTAGGGCATAAAAACAAGCTCCACTTTGCTTCTGAAAGGGGTTATTGCATCTCATTCAACAGGGCCCTAGAGGATTTGATATTTTTCTTCTTTGGTCAAGAGATCCAGAAAGAAGTTTGGCAGGATATTCAAGAAGCACCAAGGGTGAGCCTATAAAGATCTGAAGTTCAATAAATGCATGCCATAAATACAGATTTTTCTTAGCATCCATTGCCACCACAGGCCCCCTTCAGCCTGGGCTTAGATTTAGCAGCCTCACCTTGCTGCCCCTCACACCCATCCTCCAGAGTATGGCCAGAGTGCTCTTTCTAAAAATATATGTCTTGTCAGTGCCCATTTGCCCTGCTTCAACCCTGCAATAGCTCCTCTGTGCTCTTGGGACAATACAAACTCTTTGACATAGCCCAAAAGGCACAAGTGAATGACCTGGCCCTGGCTGACTTCGTTTTATGTTTCTCCTTCCTTCTCTGCTACCCTACATTACAGCAGGACTTCTTTCAGCAACACCATGCTCTCACTTGCCTTTGGGCCTTCTCATTTCTTTACGATGCTCTCCCATCCCAAAGCTTTAGGTCATCTCACAGGTTTCCACTTACATGTCACTTCTTCCTATTTTTGGTCAGTCTTTTGGTTGGGAGATCAAAAAGATAGTCACCGATGGTGGGGTGAATTAAAATGCTCACGTTTTTGTTGCCTCTGTGTGGGCAGGTGATGACTGGGGATTGAGCCTCACCTTGCTGCCTAAGTGTAGCAAAGACCAGCGGGTGTCTGAGTGGTGTGGTCACTCTGAACACAGTTCACAGTTAGAGCTGGGAGGAGGATGTTATGTGTCTTCTTGTTGCTTTGGCATCATCCCATGCATGTCTGCCTTGGATACTTCCTGTGTTAGTGCCTCTTGTCCTATAGTGTAGAATCCTAGCTTTTGATCATTGCAGCTGCTGCCAGCTGTTTGAGTAGTTTTCAAAAGGGAACGGAACAGAGAAATGTGTATGTCAAGCTCCAACGTTCTGAATTCCTAGAAATCATTATGAATCTGAATCACTGGGTTGGTGTTGCTGCAATTATCTGAAGACTGTATGGGCACATGTGTGGCTGTGGGTGCTTGTGTGGGATATGTGAATGGATGGTGATTTGTTTATAGGGGTAGGACTGGGGGACTTTGAGAGGAAGCTACTAAAATGTATCCTGTATTTTTGCTGAATTGGATAGGAAGATATCCAGATTCTCTGTACACCAAATATTCATGATATTCATGAGGCTGAGCAACACAAGCCATCTGAACTGTTTTGTAATACTTCATTTAGCACTAATGTATTGCCAGAAATCATACTGTTAATCGGTTGGTCCTGGAGAGAAAGCAAAGCTGATGCCTAGCTTCTTAATAAATGAGGATATGAAAAGAAGCCCTGTGAATCTGAGACAGGAAGTTGGTTCCTGGTATTCACACATTTATTGAGCAAACATTTATTGATTACTGTGTGTCAGGCATGTGTGAGCATGAATACATATCACCCCTTTCTTCTCTTAGGTCCTGG